CAGGTCCAGGTGACAGACTGGTCCAGAACCAGGACCAGCTTCATCCGAGCTGCTGAAGCTGCACCTTGACCTCCATCAGCACCCTGAGGTCCTCCTGCTCCCAGTTTGCTCCCAGTTTGCTCCCAGTCCAGCTGGACTGTTCCTCTAAACGCTTACATAACACCAGTTGGTCTCTGTGAGCCTGAAGTCCAGAAACCAGCTGAAGCTGCAACACGTGACTGTTACACAACACACAATGTACACACACACTACGTACACACAACGTACACACAATGTACACACACACACACATACACACACACACAATGTACACACACACACACACACACATACACACACACACAATGTACACACACACACACACACACATACACACACAATGTACACACACACACACCTGAGCATGATGCTGATCAGAAGCTGCTGATTCTGTCCTGACTAATAACTGATCAGTGATCAATCCCTCTGATCGGGTTCAGTCTGTTGATGAACATCTGGTTTAGTCGTCGTGTCACATTTTAGTCCACTTACTGGTTTTTAGGGTTTTTGAGCGTTTTGAAGCTGCAGCGTGTTTGCTGTGTGCGGTTGCCATGGTTACGGCTGAGTGGGCTGTAAAGCGACAGCCCTGTTGGTTCAGAACAGTCGTCGTGCTGTTCACCGTGAGCAGCTTCACTTAAATCTCAGCAAAGGTTCTGACGATGTTGCTGCTCACGGTGAAAACGTAGAAAAGCTGAAGCAGACTGAAGCCGGCGACTGACGCTGAGTCGAAGCTGGAACTGATTTAAGGCCCCAAGGTCAGAATCTGGTGTCCTCCGGTCCTGGTTCTGGTTTCCATCGACGTCCTGTTGCAGCCGCTCGTCGCTCTTCCTCCCGTGTTGAGCTCTGACCTCCTCTGTGTCTGCAGGTGCTTCTCCATCTTCTTCGTGGAGTTTCAGGACCACTTCGGCGCCGACTACTCGGCCACGTCGTGGATCCACAGCCTGGTGGACTGCACCACGATGCTCTGCGGTCAGTACCTCAGACTCACCTCGTCACATCTCAGTCCAGGTTAGCAGCTCAACGTGTGTCTTTGCAGCTCCGCTGGGCAGCCTGCTGATGAACCGCTGGTCGTGCCGGGCGGCCGTGATGCTGGGAGGCGTGCTGTCGTCCTGCGGCCTCCTTCTCAGCTCCTTCAGCAGCAGCCTGGAGCTGCTCTACTTCAGCATGGGGGTCCTGACAGGTGAGAGGCGGCCGGACAGGTGAGAGGCGTGGCCCAGTGTTGTGAGAATGTTCTGACCCGTTCACCTGTCGCAGGTCTGGGTTTCGCCCTCTGCTACACGCCCGCCATCGCCCAGGTGGGCTGCTACTTCCGGCAGAGGAAGGCGCTGGCGTACGGCGTGGCCATGTCGGGCAGCGGCATCGGGACGTTCGTGTTGGCGCCGGCCGTGCAGCTGCTCATCGAGCTGTACTCGTGGCGGGGGGCGCTGCTCGTCCTCAGCGCCGTCGTCGCCAACCTGTGCGTCTGCGGGGCGCTGCTCCGACCAATCACGCTGCAGGAGGAGGAGGAGGCGGAGGAGGACGAGGGGGCGGAGCAATGTGGCGAGAAACAGCTCTGTGAGTAAAGGCCTCAGAGTACTGCAGTACCAGGAGTATCACCACTACATACACATGAACTATGGTATCAAAGTGTAGCTACCAACCACTGCTTCAGCAAACATTAGGCAGCAAACTTTCTACAGCAGATCAAGTCCAAACTTTGATTGCGTGCTCTGTGCAGGCGTCGAAGTCGCCACAAAACCCTCCGAAGACGGCGTCTTGTCATCGGGCAAGCAGTTGCCGCCATCTTCCTCTTCTCTGAACGGGAGGTGGTGCTTCAGCTCCTGGTTCCTGTCCAGTAAAGAGTACCGGTTCCTGCTGCTGCCGGACTTCCTGGGTCTGGCCGTGTCCTTCCTGGTCCTCGCCAGCGGCTGCAGCCTGCCCTTCGTCTACCTGGTGCCCTACGCTCTGAGCGCCGGCGTCAGCCACCAGCACGCCGCCTTCCTCATGTCCATCCTGGGAGTCATCGACATCGTGGGCAACGTCACCTTCGGCTGGCTGACGGACAGGAGGTACCAGAGAGGCGTTAACTCGCATGTTAGCATCTAGCTAGCTACTTTCAGCAACATTAGCATTGTCGCTATGATTGCTAATGCTAATGTGCTTTACAGCAATAACTGATGTCCAGACCCACACATGCACAAACTTAAGTCTGTGACACTACAATGCTAACTGACATTAGCAAACATTAGCACACGGCATCAGCTAATGTGATATTAGCCCTTAGCCTGTAGCTACAGGTGGACGTAGCGAGGTGTGACGGCGTCCACCGGATCATTGGCGCCCACTGGAGGTGCAGTTTGTTTTTCGACGCCATGTTTTCAGTTTGAAGTCAAAACTTTCTCGATAACAAGAAGCAGAGCAGCAGAACGAGATCCGGAGACGAAATCAGTTTAACACGAGTTCAGTCGGTTCAGGACAAGCTGGAGATGATCAGAACGAGCTTCACTGGGAAGTCAACAACACAAGGAGTTGAACTGCTGCGTCGAGCTCCACCGCAAGTGTAAGGTGAACCAGAGCTTTAATGAAAACACAGTAATTAAACATTAAATACACAGTCAACACCTTATATACGGCAGGTGTTGGAGGAAACCAGCCCAGGAAGAGTTCAGACATCGGGAACATGTGAGTCAGAGGTTTGGTTCCTGCTGCCTCCCACTCAGACCACATTAAAACTTCAGGTCACATTAATCTTTCAGTACAAGCCGTTGCTGCTGTGACGTTATAAACGTTGTCGCTGTTCTCAGGTTTGCAGCCTGAAGCCTCCATTACCAGGTTAAAGATCAGCTGAGTGCCTCTCTGTCCGTTACAGAGTTAAAGTTTAAACCTTCAGCGTAGCCTGAGGGTCAGTCTGGTCTGATGAAAGAGCTCAACTCTGCTGATAACCATTTTCACACCATTTCTTTTCCAACCAGCTCTTTAACAATACTCAGTCCAATTAGTACTTCTGACTCGTCCGACAGTCGACTGGTTCGACAAACTGTTGATTTAAAACCACAGATGTGCCCAAAAGGATCATGGGAACGTGACGCTCACAGTGGAGCATGTGCAGCAACCCCGAGCTGAACTCAGTCAGTCCATCAGCGAGCAGATAACCCTGCAGCAACGCTGACATAACCAGCAGCAGATAACCAGCGAAGGCTCAAAACAACAAACACGACGTTCCTTTAGACTCGGCTGGTTTCAGGTTCCTGCTTGTTGCTGAGGGTTCAAATCCAGAACCACAGAGAGACCAGCTCCCCAGGTCTACACTCCCTCTGCTCACTAACTGGACCAACCAGAACCTCCTGGTCCAACCACCACAACAAGTCGGTAGCTGGACTCTCCTCCTCTGTGGTTCTGGTGGTGGAACCAGTTACCAGACTGGTCCACCTGCTGACTCCCTCTCAGTCTTTAGGAACAGACTGAAGAGCAGCTCTGCGGTCAACACCTCTGCAGCTGACAGCCTGGAAACAAACAAAACAACAAACTAGACATTTGTCCTGTCACCTCCCTGCAGCATCAGCATCCCGTCACACTGAACCTGTTCTATGTCCCTTATCCAGGTTGTTCTCTCCTGTCCAGATCCTAGCTTGTGTTGTATCTGCTCTCAGATGTACGTCGTTCTTAATGAACCTGTGGACCTGTAGGGTTTGTGGTGTGACGGCAGCTTCCTGTGTCTCAGGTGTCTGAAGCCTTACCGTCTGGCCTGCTACATCTTCTCGGTGGGGATGGAGGGCCTCTGCTGCCTCTTCACGCCGCTGCTCCGCTCCTTCCCGCTGCTCGTGCCCTTCGCCGTCCTCTATGGATACTTCGACGGCGCCTACGTGGCTCTGATCCCCGTGGTGACGTCGGATGTGGTGGGGGCTCCGTACCTGTCCTCGGCGCTGGGCGTGGTCTACTTCCTGCACGCCATCCCCTACCTGATCAGCCCGCCAATCGGAGGTGAGGAAGAGGCCCCGCCTACTTTCAGCAGCCATTTACAGTCAAAGAATATAAATAGAAAATATCCATTTAAATGTTTCAAACACGTGACTGAACCTGTGTCGGTACGGAGTTTATCTGCCATGTGACATCACTGTGACATCACTATGACATCACGTCATCTCCTCTCTTGCAGGTTGGCTGGTTGACATCACAGGAAGTTACACGGCCACCTTCTTCCTGAGTGGCGCCGCCCTGCTGGCCAGTGCGGTCGTCCTCTTTACCGTCGCCGGGATTCGGCGCTGCCGCCTGACCGTCGGCAAGCACAAGCCCCTCCCCCTCAGCCCATCCGACCAATCACGCCGCTTCGATGCCTTCAACAAACAGCCGGCCAGTCAGAGCGTTGCAGCGTAGCCTCGCAGGAGTCGACCAATCAGATTTGCCGACACCCAAGAAAACTTGGGAGCTGTGATTGGTGGGAGCAGTCGCCAATCACGTGATGACTTCACTGCCAGAGATGCAAGAACCAATAACACTGTGACAAACTCTTTATTTTGTAGAGACTTCTGACTTCCTGTCTGAACTGGAGCAAAGTGCTTCAACGTTTGTTTGTTTGTGTTTGTTTTGTCCTCGACTGGGTCACATGACTCCCTGGACGTCTGGACGGACAGTTGAACGGACTGAGGACGCCTGCAGTCGAGCTCAGAGGAACACATGAAAACAGACGTACGCTGCAGAAGCTCGACTGTACGGCGTCACATTGGTGCCAAAACGTCGCTTAGCGCTGTTTCTGCGTTGTTACCACGGCGACCACCTACCCAAAGTCTTTAATATTTAGTCCTGCTGTCAGAGCTGGAACTGATTTCTTTACGTTGCAGTTTTGCTAAACATGATGCTGCCTCCAAGTGATTTTAACTCAGGTGTTGATTAACGAGCCACGAGGAGATCTCAAACATTCTGACCAATCATCAGCTGGTCAGCAGCTGCTCGGTTCTTCATGTCAACATCAGGTCTGTGCTGGTGTTTGAAGAGTTAAACTTTCTCCACTAAAGTTAATAAAATCAACACGAAGCTGCTGTTGTGCTCAGAAACCGGTTTCACTGTGTTGTCTTAACCTTGTTACAGACGTCCGTCTCCTCAGAGAAACATGGACTTTGGTTGTTTTTGTTAATGTGCATCAATAAAAGAAACGTTCTGCCAAAGACACGATCGTTCCAGTCGGTTCTTGTATCAAACATTAAACCTGCTGATAGGAACTCTGTGGATCAACTGGGACGTCTCAGGACTCTGGATCCTGCTGAAGAAGTAGATCTTTAAAGCAGACTTCCAGACTCACTCGGGTCCAAACACCTGAGACGCCTCGTATCCGGAGGTGTGATCAGGATGTTTCTTGTACTGATCGTCTTCACCTCAGCTCCGTCACAGGCAAACAGAACCTCATGTACAAAGATCTGCTCCTGCTGGTTTATGCTACTCTGCATAAAAGTCACTTTCTGGGTGTTTTTCTGCTCCCATCTCATTTTTCACCTCCACGGAAACGGAACAACCACGACTGAAGCTAATGAAAAATAAATCTTTGATTATTTATTTTAAATTGTAAAAAAAAAAAAACAACCTGAAACAACATGTTTCCAGATGTTAAGCCCTGGAGCTGATGTTGTCTCCTCATCCTGCAGATGTTGAACTATCTCCATGTTCCAGCCTCTCCAGACATCAGATGTAGAAAGATGTTCCACCATCAGATGTAGAAAGATGTTCCACCATCAG